CATTTGGCCACATCTGCGTCTTTGTGTGTGTGTGTGTCCCGTTATGCGAATTTATGTAGTTCATTTGTACATTAACAAGTTACGGTGTGTTCTGCCAAGTACAGGTAGCTGATTTTAAAACCAAAACAAACTCAGGAAGCATTAATAACATCTCTGGCACATGGGTACATTGAGTGTTTCCAACTTTGCAAAAGCCTCCATAAGAATGACCAATTCTTCATTGGAGAGACAAACTAAAGCGATATCATGTTCAACATGCATCAGTATTAATACCATTAATGTTTGAGTTATCAATGTTGGTAAGAAACTTTGTTATCAGACTGTCAGTTGAGGTTTAAAAGTAAAACACAACTTTGGGATAAAGCCTAAGTGTTCAGGTTAATGTTGTATTATGTGAATTTTTAGAATTACTCTAAAATGATATCTAAAATTTGGCCATATAAATATGTATAGCGTGAAAGTTTATTCTTTACCGTGGAAACATAGTTTAACAAAAAACTTACCTTCAGGTCCACTAATCACCGTTATTAGAGCTTTCAACTCAATATCATGGAATTCCTCAGCTCAGTTGTCATATTTAGGACATTTGACGACAACTGAGTTATTGCTTCTGTGACTGCTGAGGAGACTGCTGAGGCTGTGTGATGCGGTTGAAAGCTCCAGAAAAGCTAGAAGATGGGCCTTGAGTTAAGATTTTTTTTGTCAAACATGTAAATACGGTGAAACCATATTTAACCATACACATAACCAGGATTAAAAATACAGAAATCTGCAAAGTGTGGAAAGTTAGTCTGCTGAAAATGTGTTTCTAACTGTGACTGAATAACATTTCAGCCACCTATCAATGGAAGCGGAAGGAAAGGATTTACGCCACTCAGCTCAGAAAGCTCCTGTGCTAATATTACTGAACAACACACACGCTTAAAAAAAACAGCAGCACGACATCCTGCAAGGAAAAAGAAAAACCTTTAAAGCTAACGACCTGTAATATTTACCCAGGGCGACTCCTGACTGGCTCACTCACAGCTATAGAGGTCCCCGGACACATCAGGGCAGAGGCCGGTTGTTTTTTTTGCTCCTGATGCAGAACAGATGAAACTTTTTGGACATTTTCTTTTGGTTGCTATTGAAGATTGTGCGATCAGTTTTGTGGTCAGTCAAAAATATTTAGACAGTGATATGACCCTAAAAATACGGCGTGTTTGTGTGTATGTGTGGCTGCTTCACAGGAATTTGTCTACATGAATACAATATCTCAGTGGAGCACACACAGCTTCAGTGTTAAACAACCACTGAGAGGTCGAACACTTTGTTTGAAAAGAGGTTGGGGTGTCTCTCCACAATGTAAACACCTCAAACAGAAAATCAGTCTATTAGCAGCGTTTCTGATTAGCTGATGAACAAAAGCAATCAAAGGCTTGCTTGGTCCCTTGGAGAATATACATCAATGTCATTTGTTCAGGGCCTGGTAGTGATTGGCATGTTCATTAAGTGTCCTGTTTACAATGAGCTGACAAGCCCACATGTGAAGTCAGCAGATGATTCTAAGTGGCTCCGAAAGGCTGTTAGTCATCCAGCAGATCATGAAAATGATCATAAAAACTGCTGCAGTCATCATCATGTGGCCACTTCGTTTTTTCCTAAGAGAGGCTGATTTGAAAAGCCTCATCAGCTTTTGAACCGAGTCGTCTCTTTGATGAAGAGAGTTCGCGCAACTTGTTCGTCAGCAGTGGCTTATATGAAGTCTGCTCTTTGTGTATATACTGTAGACATCGTTCTTATTTGGCTGTACTGTATTTATGTTTGGGATTTGGTGCCATCATGAGGGCACATTAGGTATAGGTGGACCATCACTGATTTTTACTCTGTATTTATTGATTTTGTTGGGAGGCAGTATACTAAATGTGTGCTGCACTAAAAATGTGAAATGCAATCATTTCTGATTTGTTATGTTGCTGGTTGTGCAGAAAGTGACTGCGTGAGACTTCCCCGAAGTTTGCGTGAGTCTTTACGTGATTCAACAGGTGAGTGACGAAAACATCCCCTGATTCCAGTAACTAGTCCTGCTGAAGCCAAGCTCATGCTTCATGTGGTCGCTGACTAACTCAAACATAAAAGACTTTCTACACCACTTTCTGCAAACACGACATTTACTGGTTTATGTGAGTGTGGTTCACTACCAATCAATCCTCTATGTTCGTGCTGTCCCATAATGGTCATTTTAATTATATTAGTCACAAATGGACACACTTTCCTGTGATTTTGCAGCAAGTGAGAATTTATTTGATGTGTTTATTCCACGCACTACAGTTCCTCCACGTGTAAGCAAGCGCACATAGGACTGAGCACAGGAAGTAAGAAGTATAGCCATGAATTATGGGCCTTGATTTGAAGTTCAGGTGGTGGAGTTTTGACTGAACTGAAACTCACCTCAATAGCACATGCTGTGATAGATTGATCAAAAAAATCAGCTGTTTTCATAGCATGTCTCTTTTTTTCATCTTACCCTCCTGTTGGAGGGATTTATTTTAAGTAAAAAACGACATGCTTTTCTCCTACACCGGCCTGCAATTGAGCATGAACCTATTTAGGGTTAGGTGTCATTTGTTTAGCCATTTCTTGTATGAATTGTATTCATTTTGCCATACTTGGCTCTCTCATCTCGTGTAAAACTCATAGAACTAAAGTAATTGTTGCATGTCGAGGAGACGAGTTAATAAATCCACTCAATCCAGTAAATCAAGACTCACTGTAAAAGTGAATCGACGGCTATAATCTGGGTGGACAGCACTGCACACATCTGCAGCAGCAGCTGTGGCTAATTTTGTTTCATGTGATTATATTGTCTGCAAAACATTTGTGTTGTTTCTAAGTTGTTTAGGATAGAGAAGAAGACAAAGTTGCACAAAAACGCTCCACCGTGTACACTGGAACAGGTAGTGATCCAGGCTGGCAACCAAAGAAAACACACCAAGAGCTGGAAAATTCACACTGTTTTCAAGCACACTTCCATTAGTAAAACATTCCCATATGGCAATTCACGCCCCTTCCAAAAAATAGCATGAGAGTTTCCTTTGGCTCCACACTTCTTTGAGTGTCCAATATTCATTAATAAAACGTTCACTCTCTTCCTGGCTTTCACTTTCCACCTCCTCCCTTAAACTCTGATTGACTGCAGAGGCTGTTTGAATCCCCTCAGCCCTCCAGTGTTTGTAGGATCTCTTCCAGCACTGTTAACATCACTATGGTTCATTCATCGCTCACAGCATTGAGTAAGAAGCGTATGCTCCAAGTGCCCGCATTAGCACAGTCATTGTGTTGCATTGTTCTCTGGCATGAGATCAATATTGTGACAATGTGTACAGTGAGTTGTATATGCGGCCTGTTGCCACCCTGTTATTCAAACATGACAAATTAGCTTTTATTATTTGTTTTTGATATATGAGACTCCCTGTGAAGCAGTATTGATACTAAAATGAAGTATATGGAATCCTCGCAAAAGAAACAACGAAAATAATAAATTTAAATATGAATTCAAGTTTTGCATTTACAAATAACATTAAGGTTTCATAATATGTGTGTTTCAGTGATAAAGATCACACAGGATCTTTATGAAAATACTCAGTACACTGAGAGAAAAGTCACAAGACAGTATTGGCAGTAGTTCTCCTCAGCAAATCACATACTCACACTTACCCACAGAGGGCAGTATTATAGTTATGTTTAGCTTTCACCACAGCCTGAGGTTGGAAATATCAAGCAGTGAGGACGTGTACAACATGAGAGATGATGAGTCAGCACAGCTACTCTTAAAATTCACTGGGGGCATGTACAGTACAAGGAGAAAGAACAATATAATACTATGGAGTGAAATCAATTTCAAAATGGTCACAAATGAATGTATTACATGATCTACAAATGAAAAAAGGTTTACAAATGGGTATGACAATTTTTGCATAAATTTAAACCAGATATGAATCAAATTCTGTGTGTTCTGTATGAGGTGCATCCTCCAACAACCCTTCACTGAATATGTATCGGTCTGGCTTATAATAAAATTTATATCACACTAACCATTATATAATCATTAAGATTAATTCAGATCCTTTATTCATTTTCAAAGACAAGTTGGAAATGTCATGTCAGGCTTCAGTATCTTCATAGAGTAAAGAAACATCACAAGATGAGTTATCCCAACCTTAAACCTTTCACTTGTGAATTTTGAAACTTGAACAGACTTCAACCAGTCCAAACTAGGGAGTTTGTTCCCATACAATGGGCAGCATATTCTCCTTTTCACACAACTAATTTTCCTTTATCTGTGAGGATGAAGCAGCATAGCCCTTTGATATAAAAACATACATTCATACCCTACATAACAATTCTAAAATATGTATCTCAGACAAGCTTTAATGGGCAGGGCCTACAGGTCACTGTGTATCCCAATTATATGATCAAAGAATGTCCTTAGTTAATGTTGACATCAGCCATCAGCCAGCAGTTTGCTAAAACGTGCATACATCACCTGCAGGATGCTCTCAAAGATGGGTCATAGGCGTGTGAAGGAAAAATGAAGACCTCTCACTCAGTTCCAATTTCTAGATACAATCCCGAAGTGTGAAGGGTAAATGTGCTCAAAATCAGCTGTCAATTAATTTTGTCAATAGCATCAAACTATCAAATAAGCACATTACCCTTAATTTAAACTACTTAAATGGGTATGCAAACATATCATTTGTTGTAATCAAAATGTGTGGAAGTTCAATGTTACAGGCAATTCTATTTTAATAATGTCAATATACACTTTTTTATAATCAGGCAACTGGACTGTATTATACATTTATGTAATATGTTCATTTATACATGTATATAAAGACGCGTGGCTGGAAGGTTACCTCTATGCTCCAGAGAGCACCATGTCAGTGTTTTGCCTTTGTAACGAGTGATCCATCTTCTCCTAAATAGACGTGCTTTGGATCAGAGCGCGTCCGTCTGCAAAATGAATTGTACGGTGTCGTCAGTTCCGTAAAGCGTTCCTTCTGGTTTCATTAAAGAAAATAAGATAGATACGAAGACAAACGCAGTAAGAACAAGGCTTTACCCGACTATGGCATCAACATATTCTTAAACTAGAGCACTACGTTGTTTCCCACGGGCATTTTTTTGTTCCCCCTCGGACTGACCACAGACACAATAGTCTCCTCTAAGCCGCGCGCATAAACCGGGATGCACTGCCGTTAGCCCGTTTTATTAGCTCGCTCGCTAGCTTTCCCCCCCCAACTGCTCTGTTTTTAACGACGGGACCAAGCATACCGTAAGTCAAACCGCTTGAAAACGACAATATTAACGTTGCATTGTGTCTGTTTGTCATTTCTACATATGTTAATCAACCAGCTTATACACAGTGAATCCTAGGTTGTGTTTTTGACCAGCTTCCTCCTAACAGCTGCTCATGTGACATAGAAGCAGGCCTTTTTTCTAGAAAGCATATTCTGCTTCAGTATGACATTCATAACCGGTTATGTCTTTACTTCCCGGATAAAGCCCCTCTGTGTTGGGCAGATTGAGCCCACCGGGGGAGGCCTGCATCTAGAGTTACCTGCTGGAGAGAGAACAACTGTACACCTGTGCTGATGCACCTGTCGGGGCTCCCAGGATCTTGCAATTTAATAGTAACCTATATCTTACCTTATATAATAATGATAAAGAACATTGTCTCTGTTATAGCACGTGTTCTTCAAGTTATTTTGGAAGCTGTCCGTTCCTAATTATAGGCTGTTAATGATTAATACACAAGGTAATGCCTAAGCTCCCCCTGTTGCTGTTTCATATTGAGTCAGCCTGGTTTAGGTGGTTCGTCTAAGAGACAGAAGACAGTGGATTGAGGGACTTGGCACTGTAGCAAGATCAGGGCCTTCATGTAGATGTTATGCAAAGCAGTACTTTGTTGCTCAGTCTATGATGACCTTTGTTTCCCTGCCTGTTCTGCAAGTGAAAATTCCAGCGTATCTTTATCTCCTACTTTACCTTGAAAAGAACAATTCATATGGAGAAGATGGACATTTTTTTCCGTCCCAAATATCTGACGAGTGCAGTGAGATGTCTAGTGTTGAGTATTGTTGGGCAAGAGAACCAGTACTTCAAATGTCTTAAGTCAACAGAGATGTTGTCATTCCTCAGGATATGGACTGGGCACGGCCCACAAAAGCCCACTTACAATAGGCGAGGTCAGAGCAAATGTAAACAAGCGCTACCTCCCTTCAAACAACGTCTGGGACGTTGGTGCCAGCAAGAGATTTAACCGCCATAGAACTACCAAGAGTCAGCCACATGGTTGCAAAGCTTATTTTTAACTAATCAAATGTGTTGCCTTAGTTTACTTATATAATACACACAAACCGTACACTCATTTTGAGTTATGCTGCATATATCTGATTGCTGGATGCATCCTGTGACGGGATGCACACACACGCACACAAATACAAATACATACAGTACATTCAGTGATTGTTGGAGTGAATACACTATTTCCTTCCAAGCCCAAAAATAGGAGCTAAATTACTGCTTGTCCAGCCCTTTCATGCTTATGCGATTGCACATCTTGAATGTACGTGTTTGACCTATTAGAATGACTAATCAGTGTTGATCTAATCCTTTTGCTATCTCCCCACTAGTCTGTGTTTTTAGGGAGTGGGTTCTGCTAACATCTGGACCTTGTTAACAGACTGTAGAGTAGAGTGGCCACTTCAACAGCTCACTGTAGCGGCGGTGTTTTAGCGTGGGCCTTTCATAGGTGTGCTGTATTCATGCCGAGCGGTAGCCTTGCTCTTTGAAAACCACCTCCTCGCTTATTTGTGGCAATTATATTCCCATCTGCCTCATGATTTGGCTGTTTTGACTACGCTCTTTGCTCCGTCCTCTACAAATCAGGATTAAGGCCTCGCTGTTTTTCCATCCCTGTCTTTTTTTTTCTGACATCATTTACATATGTCAGTTTGTTGTTTCAACACGTTATCTTCCTCTCTCTCTCTCTCTCTTTCTTTCACACAGACATAGTGCATTATGACAGACAGCATTATGAGTAAAGCTGCCACAATGGAGATTCCTATCAACAGTAACGGTGACACAGGGACCCTCCCAGAAGATGACAGCCTTGAACAGGTGGGTCACAGTTATATATCGCCCTACTGTGTGTAACCTTTTGACACCAGCCTGTGTAGCTGTTGTCAACCTATTTAAAGCTATTATTACACACACTGTTAAGCATTTACCCGCTTGCAACCCCAAGCTGACAAAAGATAATGTGCACACTCAAAAGCAAACCAGTGAGACAGAGTTGTTTATTTTCTTATTCATGTACTTGTAAGTAATGTATCTTATTTGTCTGCTCAGGATAAATACAGGACTGTCTCTGCAGCTTATATCATTCACATGAGCGCACATGAAGAAAATGAACCCTACATTTAAGCCTGATGTCATTACGTGGTGGTGCGGTTGGTTTAACCCAGTCTGACGGATTAATGCGAGCCTTCCGTTGTTTGAAGTTGTGTTTCGGGGTATAGTTCTCAGCTATCAGGAGATCAGCTAAGTGAGTCGACCATTCACACTACCACAGCACTACCCTGTGATAATATGCAGAGTACAGTTTAAGACTAATCCTATTAGCAAATAGAGTCTCCAACACTGGCTGTATGGCTGTGGCCCGTCACTTGTTGTTCTCTCATATTGCTTTAATGTATCTGTATTAACCTGAGAGCAGGATGATCATTCAGGAGATTTGCTCCGGTCCTTTTGTAGTGATTTAAATGCTGTATTCTCTGCCTGGGTTTAACTATTATTGTGTTATGTGTTGCCTGTCGTACACAACCACAAGTCCTTGTATTACGTGGCTTGCTTGGATACATGTGTGGAAAGAACTGGGAAATTAGGTGTTGTAGTTTCCACTCTCCTTGGGAAGCAGTTGTTCATGTGGCCTCATGTTCAGGGTTGAGGACATACTTCTGTGCTCTATGCTCGGTGTTGAACTGAAAAGCTAAACTCTCAGATGTAGGTGCTCATTTACAGAAGAAATAAGCACTTGTTTGCCTCCTTCAATATCAAAAGAGACTGCTCTATCCCAAGTGTATATTGCCAACATCATGTTTCCATCACTTCCAGTCAGTGACAATGAAACAGATGAGTTGTAGAGTACGTTAGGTGGAACCGGTTTTTCCCTTCCCTGCGTCCTAAGGCACACCTTGTTGGACAAACAGACTGGAGATCCTGGAGGATTCAGGTTATTTGCTCACCAAACCATACGTGACTCCACTCGAGTACTAAAAGGAAAAACCCCTCTACCTTCTCACCAACATCGCACGGTGAAGCACGTATTCAACCGTTTGGTGTTGTTTACCGCGTTCCCGTATGAGAAGCGTTCGGCTGCCCTTGTTTCGGTGCTGCATATTAAACCAGTTGTCATAGCAACTCTGCAATTAATCTGAAACGGGCTGTGCTTTTGTCCTTGGGTGAAAGCCCTCCGAAATCAGATTGGTATCTGCTGTGCAGCACTCACTTTAGAGCCGCAGCAGCCTTGTGTCGCTCTCAGCACATCGAGACGAATATCGGCAGGTTGAGGACGAGCAGAAGTCTGGACTCAGATGTCGTAGCGTTGAACAGACTGCTAGCTCGACTGCTAGCAGCATCAGTGTCTACTCGGTGTCTACTCAGACAGTTAACGTTACTTTAAGATGTCCTTTTATGCTGTTATACTTCCATAAGTCTACCAAACCTCACTGCTAAGATATGACTTCCAATATTATTGTTTGATGACTTAAAGGCTCTGTAGTTTTTCCTTTCATCTCAAGGAACAGACTCTATTTAAACAAAGTGTCCAGAGAGGATCAGTGTCTGCGGCAGTGTTTCGGGCATATTGAACAGATGCCAGAAAGAAAAAGGAGAAGATGTAGTTACACAGGCTTTGTCCATCATGTTCATGTTAAGTGGCGACAGAAATTCTACTTATGCTATAATAAAGACCATTTGTCCGAAAGGTTCCACGCAACCCATAGAATTTTCTTTTCTGGCCACTCAAATTCTGTGTTTTGTGTGTGTGTACTCGGTTCCATCTTGATTGTTTTCCCCTCAGTGTTAACGTCACCTTTTAATGTCTGTAAACGTCTTGTTAAAAAACATCTTTATTTGTGCAGTGCAGAGCTCAACAATACAGATTGCCCGATTTGCCCGGGGCAAGTAAAACGGCCTGTCGTGCTAGTAAATCTGGAAACTCACTTGCCCGATCTGGCAGTGGTTAAAAAAACAATAGTGAAACGCATTGTGGAGCTGAGGATGTAAGTGGCTACGAAGTGAGCCATCTCGCTTCCTTCTCATCTCTCCACATGCGCTGTACCAACTTTAGTCTTGGCTGTTATTTAAGACCGCTAATAAATAAAACTGTTTGTATCGGGGCAAGTCAAAACTGACGTCAAGCAAGTAGATTTCTGACGTTGAAACCTGCATTGTTGTACAACACTCTGTATTTTCTTTTTCCCAGTGACAGTGATGAAATAATATCACGGCCACGCTGTGGTAAGCTACAATGTCCCAAGCGAAACACGTTCACCCCGTGGACGAGAGGATCCGCTTGAAGCTTCAACATAAACTAGCTAAACGATGAATCGTGAGCTGCTGTGACATCAGTCATCACTGCTCTCCATCTTACATCCCGGCTGTTTGTGGACATTATGATGATTTATTTTGTCATTCTATCTTGCCTCATGATTTCAGTCATGGATTTTTTCTTTTTGTCTCCTTTCTTTTTCCTATTTGTTTCTTTTTGTTGTCGTTGTTGTCGTCGTTGTTGTTTGTCGATTCCCCCTCCATCTCTGTGCAGGCTGCACAACTGCAGTGGAGCTTAGATGAGAAGGTAGGGAGCTCCAGAGGCACCAGGGTGAGCAGGCCATTCGTCCATTTGTGTGTGTTGGTGTGTAGTACTGCTCAGTGGTTTGACTTTATGCGGCGTTAAATTGCCTCACAGCACTACGTCGGTCTATTTCACAAAGTGAAGCAAACCACTGCGCAGCTTGAATTGTGCCGCCTGTTAACTCGGCTCCTACTAACTCTAGATAAAGTCTCTCAGACCTGATGTGTGTTGAGAGATATGTCCCTCAAATTGAGTAGTATTAACAAAATAGCTGGCATCTAACACTTAGGCCTCAATATTACAACCTGTTTCCGTTTGATTATTCATAATCAGCTGGTGTGTGTTGAGCTAATACAACCTAGATTCTGTGTGCACTTGATGTGTGAGTGTGAGTCCTTCATTTTAGCGGGTGTCGGGGTTGGCAACACAATAATGGCGATGTACTAATACTCATCGTGTCGTACTACTGCTGAAATAGTACCCTGAAGCAGAGCTTGGATACATTTTGCGTATCGTACTGAAGATTCCTCGTTTAACCTCCAACAGCACAAATCACAGCAGTAGAACTTTTACTTCCTTCTGGATCAGACATGTTTGGGTTTGCTTACAAAAAGGAAATAGTTCACTAGAGCTTAGAGTTTCCTTATCACAGACTTGCGTTAGAGTTTCAGGAAGTGTAATGTATGAATGTTTTGCTCCAGTTTACGTTGTCGAATGGACCATATCTTTGCCCATAGTTCAGTGCAACGTCTGTAGTGAATTAAATAAGTGGCTTGCTTACAACACAGGCAAGAGTTAAACACTCTAAAGTCTCGCGCATAGTTTTCCAAAGTGAAAAATCATTCCAGTACAGATTTTTTTTATTTTCCATAAATTCCTCACAGATGTTATTTATTTCTTTACTGGCTCATAAGATGGATCGTAACACAGTTCCCCTCCCGATCCAGAGCTTTACTGAAACCTGTGATTATTTTTGGGAAGGAGGAAATAGTTTGCAGGAGCGTTTCCTGCCGCATAGATGGTCGAAGTCACTGCTTGCGTTAGACTGTCGTAGCGGTGGTATTGTCGTCCTCTCGCTCGCTCCTATCAGGGCAGGAGATTCAGGTTAGGTTGATTATTGACTGGGTACTTTTGGTGTGTTTGCCGTCTTTCACATACTTCATAGTTTTTCCTGTTGGCTTCCAGATAAGGGGTTACATTTAGACACTGCCTTAAGAGTGTGTGTACTGACTAACCTCTAACATAGTAGTGTTTGTCCCCCTTTAGTGAATAAGCCTCTAACCCACACTGTCTGAATTTAACACTCAAGTGATAATCTCCTGTCTACGTATCCCCCCCCCCCAAACCCCTCAATCCTTCCCTTCTTCTTGTTCTTTTTTTATTTTATTTTATTTCCCCACTTAAACTTTGCAGGACCTGCAGCAGGTGATGGTATCGGGTCCCAATCTCAACGAGACAAGCATTGTATCGGGCGGTTATGGAGGAACAGCGGAGGGAATCATCCCCACCAGCTCAATCAAAGGTAGAGTCCCACTTCTCTCTTCTTCTCTCACTGATCTCTGATACCTCTTCAGTCTCCTCCCAGCTACGTCGCCGTTCCACTTTGACTCGACACTGTGCTGCGCCTCTGCCTCCGACGTTATTCAGCGAGTCTAATGACGGTGAAGTGTTTGGTTCATGGGGCCTCTCATCATTCTTCCCATGAGATCGTCCTGCGATTCATTTGTGGTCAATTTGCACTGATTCCTCCCTAGCTCGCCGTAGCCTCCACTGCATCTGAAGATGTGCCTTTGTGGTCTGTGGTACTCACTTATTTATGGTTCTTCTATGCACACATATGGGAGGGAGCAGGAGGGCCGAGTGAATGATGAGCTTTATTGATTTTAAGAACCACATGAGCACAAAAGTGTTTAGTCTGATCGTAATGTCAGCCATTTATATCTACGTATGCAGAGGGTCCTTTTTCATGGAGTCTGCTATAGTGATATAACACTATGGTTTAAGATGGCGCCATTTGTGTCAACCACCGTACATTACCTACAGGCTTGGCACACAGATAAGTTCTAGTACTCACCACTAGGTGTCCAACACACTGCACCTTTTAATGGTAAAACCAGGCTTAATAAAAAAGCAAAAACAAACCCTTTTTTGGGAGGAATAGCAGGTCATCAGGGTATTATGCCACAGAGAGCTGGTATACATCTGAAAGACTGGAACCTGAAGGTTAATGCGAGATGCAGCACTTTGTGACAATAGTCATAAATCTGATTTAAGAATTTATTAAAATAAATTGTGAAAGTGAATAAGGGTTAAGAACATTATAATGGAGGTACAGGATGGCCATCCCTATGCTCTATTATGCCTCATAGTGGTTGAAGCAATTTTGGGGTTGATACCAGCTTTTGGTCCAAAAAATGCATGGGATTAACATAAAGTGCACGTGTGTAAAGGGGTAACTCATCAGTACCCATAAAACTAATTTTTCTTCAGATATTTTGAAGTTCAGCCCCTTTCTGACAAGCTCACCTGACATGGTACCGATAGATTCCTTGGTTCCTCTAGTGATCCTCCTACAGCCTCGGCCAGGATCCTCTCGCTCTCCTCCACCAACGCAGCCCCTTGCATTGTTTTTAACAGTCTACATGTCACAACTCATGACCATTGTAAAGTTTCCGATATACTGTAACTGTACTATAATAGTAAAAGACAAGTTTATTATCAAATATGTCTAAATGTCGAGCAACGGTTTGAAGTCGTATGTCAAGAAATCCACAAGTATCCTACATCAGATCACAGTACTCCCATTAATCACACATTTCATACTAAATGATGAATCCATTACGCTGTGTCTGTGAGTTGTGTGATAGCATTGACGTCGGCAGTGTAGCTGAATAAACTGTATCAAAGGGAATTAACACTTTGAGTAGTTTTTTAAATACTAATACTTCTGCTTCTCTCTCTCTCTCTCTCTCTCTCTCTCTCTCTCTCTCTCAGGCCCTGCTGTGCACTACAATGCAGAGTTTAACAAAAGGATCCCAGTTACAGGATTAGGTGGCTCCTTAGACCGGATTATTATTTATAATCTAGAGTTTATTTCCAAAATGTGATGGAATCATTTTTTGCGACGGAGGACGTTTTTAGGATCCAGAGCCTCCAGTCTGTAAATATGTAGTACAGTACTTTTTAGTTAACTGCAACACATAATGTCATTCTGATTTTAATGTATATCGCTCACATGATGGCTATCTCATTTTGGAAAGTCTTTTTTTACATAACTGGGATCCACCTTCTCTGTCCTTTTGATCTTCAGCATTTTCTCTCTTTTTCAGAGGCGAGAGGAGCAGTACACTTCCTTCCTTCCGCCTGCTCCTCTCTTTTAAATTGTGGCTTTTTTTCTATCACAGCATTTCTTTGACATCATTTTCTTACTGGTTGTTCTGTCTTGCATGTTTGTGCTAAGACATTGAATATAGTATATGGTGAAGTAAGATGATATTGGGAGAAGCTTAGTCAACGTTTAAGTTTTGGAGGCCCTCATTTCTCTCATCTTGTCTAATCTTTTCTATTTATCATGATGAAATGAAAGGCAAATCCAGTTTATTTATCACAATGTTTAGTTCCGCTGCAATTCAAACTGCCCCCGTCTTCATCATCACTCATTTGTCTTTATTGTCACTAAATGTTGTCTTTTCATCTTTGTACTTGTCTATCTTTGTCATCCTTTTCTTCATTCCCTCCCACACATTCCTCATCATCCTCTTCTCCCTTTTGTGATTTGCACTTTTCTCTCTCTTTTCTGCATTTCCCTGCTCCTCCCCACAATCGTCCTCCTACGTTTATCGTTCCATTTTTGGCACGCTTGTTCAATAATTACGTCATGTTTTATACCCTAAATATCCAACTATCATTTTAAATCCTGATCCCGTTAAAACATTCCCATAATATACACAAAAATCCAACGTAAATCCCACTCCCACACCCTAATTCATACTGACCCTGAACCATTCCTTCATCCATACCTGCCCCCCCCCCCCCACCCCCCCCCCCCCCCCCCACCCCCACCCCACGGTCACAGACCTGCGCGCGAAGGCCAGGCGAAGTAGCGTTCCCCCAAGCAGTTCTATCCTCTGCCGCATAGCGAGCCAATCAAATGAGCACCAAGGTACTGGGGAGGGAAGGATGTGAAGTTGAATGCTAAAGGCTCGACATTGATTAATCAGATTGCAGTGACCCAGAATATCTTCTTTCTATTAAAGCGCAATACAAGTAATTTAATGTTATTTTCCTGAGCCCAATATGTCCTGTTATTTATTTACTCGTAACTCCAGCTCACTCCAGTGCATGTTTTACAGTGGTGTGAGGGATAATGGTGATGGACACGAATGCAGCACAGTTTTAATGTACTTTAAGTCGTTTTTTTTTCGATTCTCTATATGATCTATTCTTTGCTGTGCTTAATCTTGTCTACCTGCGTTTGTGTTTGTTTACTTGCGTTTGTTTTTTTTACAATGTTCCTGTGTTTCTACATTGTCTCTCAGGTTCCAACATGCACCACAGCAGCAGCAGCTCGTCAATGGTGGCAGACGACGCGACCCGCGGCGTGGCTGTGGAGAAGCTAGAAACGATGAAGAAGTGGGGTCTCAACACCTACAAGGTATCTGAGGTTCTGTAGTGTTGGAGCTTCATGATAAAATGCTACTTGGGGATTTATTTATTTGTGTCTGTTCCTGAGAATGTCCTTATGCGGTATGCGTTGTGTTCCTGATGTCTCTGTGCGTCTTCCTTTTTATTTATTTTTTCAGTGTACGAAGCAAATGATCTCAGAGCGTTTCGGTCGGGGTTCCCGGACTGTGGACCTGGAGCTCGAGGCCCAGATTGAGGTGCTGAGAGACACTAAAAAGAAATATGAGAATGTGCTGCGATTGGCCAGAGCGCTCACCAACCACTTCTACAACATGGTGCAGACCCAGCATGCACTGGGGGACACCTTTGCTGACCTCAGTCAGAAATCTCCAGAGCTGCGGGTGAGGCCTAAAAATCTCTTTGTGTGGCTTTGATGCTTTAACTCTTAAGACATCCATCTGCTTGAAAGTTGAATAACAGGTTTGTGTGTAGACAACATTGGGAAACATGAATACATTCATGTGCGTTCATTTTCTTTCACAGGATGAGTTTGGCTACAATGCAGAGACTCAAAAGTTGCTGTGTAAGAATGGGGAGACTCTACTTGGTGCCGTTAACTTCTTTGTGTCAAGCATCAACACACTGGTCAACAAGACCATGGACGACACCCTCATGACAATCAAGATGTATGAAAATGCAAGGTAAGCACATGCAGCACATCGATGATTCTTTTCATCTGAGATTATCAGACGGATAAAGACGACACTTAGGAAGGAACGGACGGATTGGGTTTAGGTTTTAATCCTTACACCGAATGAATGCATAACTATATTCATTAAATGATATGCAAGGAATTTGTTCCATCTCTCTCAGCTACGATGAGAATGTGATGCACACAATGAATTCTTTGTGCGTAGCTATTCTCGTGACATTTGAAATTTCCCATTCAGTCTGAACATTTTAAATATTCCCTCTATATCCTTTTTCTTAAAGCGCTTGAACTTGTTTTCAGTTTTCAACTTGTTTTTCTTGAACAATAAATATTTATGACTAAAAATGGTGACAACCAAGAGTTAGTGTTTGGAAATCAATATTATTTTCATACATTTTTAATAGAGTTTAACATCGGCTGTCAGTCTGAGGACAGATGAGCCTCTGGGGGCTATATTTCTGGGGTTAGGTTGAAGCCAGAGGATTTTCCTCTTCCATACTCTGCTCGTTATTTACACTCAGATTAGTAATTTGAGATGTGAGACTAGAGATGGAGTTGAGAGACGACGAGTACAATTAAGATGTTTCACAAGTAGCTAGTTGCGTTCCGCCTCGTTTGCTCTCCACAAGGACTGTTTAGCTTCAAATCGCAATTTTCTTCAAACATTGCTAAATCCTGATTGGTGCACAGAAACACAAATACAGTAGTCTATCATGTGTTATGGAATATGTGGGATCCAATTTTACAGTAAAGAGCAATGTTTTAGGGCCATTTAAAACTATTTTCTATCTTTGTTTTCTATGAACAGACTGGAGTTTGATGCCTACCGGTCAGACCTGGAGGAACTGAGTCTGGGACCGAGGGACGCTGTTGCCATGGCCCGCATAGATGCTGCTCAGGAACAGTACCAAGTCCAGAAGGACAAGTATGAACACCTCCGCTCAGACGTCATCATTAAACTCAAGTTCCTGGAGGAGAATAAGGTTAGTGGGCAGGGTAGGCCTACATCATCATCATCATCATCAGCCTTCAAAGTGAAATGTCGGATTTACTCGGTGTGTTGTCTTTGTGATGATGTGCATAATTCCCAAGCTCCCTTTGTTTCTCTCCATCAGGTGAAGGTGATGCATAAGCAGCTCCTCCTCTTCCACAACGCCATCTCGGCGTACTTTGCTGGCAACCAGCAGCAGCTGGAGCAGACGCTGAAGCAGTTCAACATAAAGTTGAGGCCTCCGGGGGCCGACAAGCCCTCCTGGTTGGAGGAGCAGTGAGAAGGTTTTTACTGGATCTCCTGCAGCCTCCTTCTCAACCACCTCCACCTGCTACCTGTCGAAACCCCCCAACTTACAGAGGACCACTACAGAGGGAAACGCATACATTGTAATTGGGTGGATTGAGATGTGAGATGAGCGTGTGGCTGGATGATTGGACAGATGGACTGCAGGGTATTATTGATGAGTGGGCAAAATGCAGCAGGGAACCAAGCGGCCAGTGTCATGAACAGTCAGGGGGCTTTCAGTGCCTCTTCCCAACTTCCTTTTTTTCCACTCTGACCTATTCTGTGTGCTTTGTTCCCAGAGGATCTGTTCACCCCCCCCCCCCCCCCTCTCTCTCTCCCTTTTGACTCCCCTTCTATGTCAGCACCATTCTGCTGTGTGAACTTGTGCTCGTCATGTTCATGGTCATTATTGTTCCCAGAGTTAAACTTCAACCCCCGCACCATCTTGGTTACAGAGACCGATGACAAAAAGGAAACATGACAAATCCATTGAAACACACGGGATGTAAGCAAACATTACGTCAAAACTCTTCCAGACCTTATCACTCTCCTCGTGTGCCTCTTTCTTTATGAGCTTACGCACTACATGAACATGTGGGCTGCAGGAAGAAAGATAAATACACATGAATGGGATTTGTATGGTACACTGGAAAAGGAATGCTTGGACATTTCAAATCAATGTACATTTCAAATGAAGTACTGTTTAAAATAAATGGTGTATGATTGTTTGTAGCTTATAAAACAAAAACACTGCTGTGTTGAGTTTAGTTCTTGCTGTTTGACTGACATCTTTTTAATTTGTAATTATTATTTCAGTACTAGTCGTGCTTCAGAGTGAAGGACAGTATACTGTTTGGGCAATGTCTGCTGGTGCTTTAGAGGGAACGTACTGTAGGACTCCGTCTGTAATCAGCAGAAATGCTACAGATTTCAATAGTAACCTTTTTGACTTCAACTCGTATATGCAACGATTGTTTAAGGAACACTGCCACAGCTTCCCAAAAAGTTCTACTGGTTGGGATCTTTACTAATTGTGTTTTATTTACCCAAAGATAATTGAGATCGATGTTTACTGTACCCTCGATGTGTTTCCATTGGTTGGTTCAGTCTCACTGGTGGACTGAGGAGGCAGGATGAGCACGTCACACAGTTAACAACAAACCTGATAATTAATTGTTTAACAGACTGAGTTTAAAAGGAATTCATTGCATATTTTTTCACATTGATACATTGAAATGTGTTTTTTTGACATCTTGGGTCATATCTTTCGGTCTCCCTGAAGCAGAATATATTTGTCTGTGGTTACCTTTCTTCACACTGAAGATTACTGTAGCTGTCTAATATTACTAATCCTAATATTTCAACACACAAGCTTGTAAGTTAGTAAATTGGGGAATGGGATAACACTACTTGTTCATCATTTGCTTCATGTTCTTTAATTGAAACACTAAGTATAATAAACAATCATCTATTGTTGACAATTAGGAGACGGTATTACCACAAAATATCGGCATGGTACTACAAATGTAATGTGTAATGTAATTTGTATGCGTCATTGTATTTATTATGTTCATTATGTCTGTTAATCTGTTGGAATCGACACATTTGTACCCTGAGACTTGTGTGCAAATTACTCAATTCATGAGTGTGACGTTTTTGCAGATGACACACTAATGTGAGAATACTCTGTAATTGATATTTCTAAACTACCCGATCAAACGTGGTTTAGTGTTCCAGGGTCAAACCTCTGACGTGAGATGAAGATAATCCAGTATAATGAATGTTTTACCGTGCTGATCAGTTAATGGGTTAGTCCTCCACCTTCTTGTCTCATCTGTATTTGCATGGCAGGCAGCGATCCAACGTTCAGGTGTGTGTGAACGCACTGATGCTCCACTCTTGGCCTTCTGCTCGCATGGACTGGCATGACGCTATGCTTACAGTTGATTCACATCTTGATACTGGCTGAAGCAAAAATCCAAAATGTGGGTTTCCTTTTAATTGTCTTAAAGACAATTGATTCATGATGAAAAGCAGATATAGGTTGTGTGATTTGGTTGGCTTGTGTTTTACTGAGCTCGTATCTGTCAGTGTGTCAAATGGGTTTGTTTTATTCTGACTGTAAGAGTCGCTCGGTTACACCTTGGCCTCACCTGCGGCTAAAATTGCAGTTCCACTGATCAGCTCCTGGTCTGTTTGATCGTCGCACAGCAATATTAAAAAACAATGTGACTCCTCTTTTCCAAACCTGCCCCTTTGAACATCCCGAACCCCAACACTGAAATGAATGGCAATAGGATATGTTTTGTTCCGTAATTGTGAAACCAGTAAATTGAGAAAAAAAAAAGGTGTGATGAGCATTTACAGTCACTCTTATAGCAGTCTTTAGATTGTTGCTGAGAAAAGAACCAAGATTTATAAAATGAGATATTTTATTTGTGTACAATCAATATTTTCTAGTCTGAGCTGGTGTACTGTACTGTATGAATGATTGCACATAATGATATTTAAGATGATAAATGAAGTTGTGTCATGGATTGATGTGATACTCTGCCTTCATTCCTCACTCAGACCTGAAAAGTCCCACCCCACCCCGAGGGAACAAATTAAAAGTGTACATTTTCAAACGGTCTAGCTGAATCTTACGTTTGCTTTCATCCCATTTAAATTGCGCTGTGGCCCAGTGTGCTTTCTTTCTGTTGCATGCAAACGGAGACGCAACCATCTGGATTTAGTCAAAACCTGATGATTACAATTGTACAAAGGTATTGTAAGAAATAATCTCCTAATCAAGCATCATTTATCCAATGTCTCTCATGTAAGTAAACTCTCCTGTTTTATAATGAAGATAACTCCAGTATGATTGATATATTTATGAAGCAGCTCTCCTCTGACACCAGCAGTTCACATATAGTTCAGATATTTATTTTCTTCACAGTATTGTATTTTACATCTATGAACAATAACTTTTCCATCTGCCTTTTTAAAATAAAAAAAACGACAAGGTATTATTCATGTACTCATACCTGCCTTTGTTTAGGTTATGAATTAGAATTTGCTAGCCAAGTAAAGATAGAGCATGTTATACATAGGCTGCATTTGTAAATTATTATTATCATGTATGTGTAATTCTTTTGTTGATCACCAAGTGGAAGTGGGTTCCCCCCATCATTTTACTTGCCTCTCCCTACAAGGGCGTTCTCGTACCTGGAAACTAACTTGAATGTGATTGGTGGAGGCGCGCCTCGCACCTGTGACTGCTGTTCGTGAGACAGACAGGCTGTAGACCGCACTTCGCGTGAGCACGAGGCACGATCAGTGACTGAGGATTTATATGACAGCTGCGTTTCAATAGCACGGTAAGTCAAACCAAAAAAAAGTCAATTGAAGCGCCACTGTGCGTTTTATTGTGTATGATGGATGATTTGTGAACGTTTTGTGCGCCCTTCACTGTGTGTGAATAACTTGACAGCGAAACACGCTTAAGAAATTGTCAAATTAATGATGCCTTGTTTGTTGAGAACGCGCGGACGTGTTTTATTAATATCCCAGCAAATAAGATATTTTTTTAGTACAATTTCCTTAATTCTAGTTGGCGCGTCTCTTAATTGCAACAGTTTCCCTCCTCGGAGATGAGCAGCGGATATGGGCAGAAAAACAGACTATTTCTGAAGTAGTAGATCTTTATGAATATATTGGTTGGCGGATGGCTGGCATGCATGCCGAATATACACCACTTGGCTCTAATAAGTGATATAAACGGTCAAGTCAGGGAATTTACCTTTGCTGTGAAGAAAGAAGCATTAAAAAGTAGGATTTTCTCAATGAAGTTTCGTGTTATATTATTACCATATGGAAGAACTATAATCAGGAGAAAACATATTTATGGAGCAATTGTTATGGTGTGTTGTATAGTTCAGGGAAGAGAAGTAGAAGGTAAAACAATGATAGCAGTTCCTCTATAAGTGAGAAAGTAATGGCACTATTGACAAACTATGTCTGCCTTTAGATAGCCTATTTTCACAGGTAATAAAAAAGCACTTCTGAAGGCTTCTCTTTGATTAAATAAATCACATTTTTTACCAAGAACTTTAAGAATTTTGCTAAAATGATATCGGCTTTTGGCAACCTTTCAGCAAAGTATCAGTTTGAGATATAGAGCAGGAAACTGATCTGTATGATATGTTGTTGATGCATAGTTTCATGTTCCAAGTCCTCTTTTTCGTCTCAAACACTGCACTCTTATGGATTTATATTCCTGTATCTCCACAGATCCGAGTGGCTAACAGCAGGACACTTCCTCCTTCCACCATCTTGGACTTACAGATGGAGGGAGTGCTGATTTTAAAATCTGCCTCTCCTCCCAACTTTTCCTCCCAAGACTCTTCTCCTCTTTCACCGGATTCTCAGGAAGATTCAGATCTGGAGTCATCTTCTCCTGCGCCTCCCCCCATGTGTGTTACTGCTGCACCAGCACCACCACCACCAGCACCACCTCCTCCTCCTCCTCCTCCACCACCCCTTCCTCCCCCTCCTTTTTCTCGTACCGGCCACCGGCGTTCCATGAAAAAGCTGAACTGGGACACCATTCCCAGCCAGCGTGTCCTTGGCAAATTGAATGTCTGGACGTCTAAACGACCTCAGAGGGATCTGGTGCTGGATATCCCGAGCATGGAGGAGTTGTTCAGTCATGTCGACAAACGGGCCTCGCTGCCCAACTTGAGGATCGTGGGTCTGAAGACCTTTGATGGCATGGACCTCTTTCCAAAGGAGCCTCAGGTGAATAGCTAGCTTTGCACTCGGGCCATATTTGAAATTCTGTCTGACATTTGATTTACAGTAATTGATGCAGACCTTCCTATGTTTCTATGGGCACAGTAATACCCGTAGAATGTTCAAACTAGGGAAGTAATGAACACACAAATAGGAACTGCTTTTTCAAAGTTCCACACTAATCATGTCATCAATGAGGAAGTGCTAAATTAAAACCATGTTGTTTTGCTTCCTTAAATATTATGTGAAATATAATGTTGAGTATAGATTTATCTTCTCATCTGAATATGGTTGAACAGAGAACAATAAATAACTTTTTTTGTTTTTCCTTTTATCGTTAGGTCACTATCCTTGACTCTAAAAAGAGTATGAATATTGGGATCTTCCTGAGACATTTCAAGAGGTAAGGATTGCCAAATTTCAATCTTAAAGAGAGGGATGTCTCTTTAAGAGTGATGATTTAGCGAATAAACCCACAAAAATGCATACACAACTAAAACCAAAGGGACTTCAAGTGGAGGAACTGCAGTTAGCAGAGGTCTGAGCAGGTTGCTCTCATGTCAGACATACTGTTAACACGCTAATCATTACCCAACCAACAGGCTCGTTATCTCAGTGGACCATATTCAAATATAGGGAAATGCCTTTTTAAACATCACTTGAGTGTTCAGTGTCAACATGGAGAACAATTATGCCTCACTTGTATTAATATTTAAATGACAGGAAAACACAGTCCTGACCCAGTGGGGGAGGGGGGAGGGGGGGGACGATACACCCAGCAGCCATGTTGGATAACCAGTGTTATGTAGCTGCATGTTTCATTCTTTCCATGTAGTTGTTTCTTATGAAATACAGTTTCATGTAACAAAAGGAACACAATTGCTTTTTGAGTCCCTACGTATCTACTAACACGGCCAGCTGTGCTCGTTGGGGCACTCAGGGCGGTGATAGGCAACAGACTTGTTGTGATCTCACTGTGAACACAACAGTTCTGCAATATCGTGCATTCATATGCATTTATACCAACCTAGCAAATTACCTCATATGATGAAATTGATTTTTTTTATTCTTTTCAAGATAATGGTAGAATAACAAAAAAAAAGAAGTGCTGTTTCAGTAATACACAAAACCTTTTTGAAATCATATTTATCTCCCTTTATACTGATACTTGCATTTCCATTATTACAGCAAAACCCATTTTGTTTGTTTTTTATTCATGTTTAAATTTTTACAAGTAATTTCAGTTTTTTGCCTCCAAATTGTAATTCTACGTAGTAAAGTTAGATTTTTGTCCCAACATATAAACATTTTATGGAGTCTCTCCTGCACTGGATCCAGTTTCTGTGTGTGAACCTCATCATCATGATGTCTCTTTCGGTCCAAGGTTCACTAAGTTCTGACTTTGAATACCAAATGCACACCAGATGCATGTCAACAGCTAAGTACTGGAATGAGCTTTAGCTTTTAAGTTAGTCAAATTCAAATTCCCTCTGCTTCCGGGTGGTAGTGACGAAAAGGCATCTGGTGATGCTATTTGAGGGCATTTGCAGGACATTAAGCAAATATCAGTTAACTTGTTTGACTGTAAAGAGGGCTCGCTCAAATCAGGCAGTGGTGTGCAACAGCAATGTCACGCTGCTGCAACTTGAAATAGAGATGTGTGATGGATAACCCGACTCAGGCAGGGTTTTAATTATCTGTAAATTGTTTGATTGGCGTGACTAATCATGTCCGATAAGTCCTGTTGATTATGGCAGGCTTTCTTATTCTTGTTATCTTTCGTCTCCCTCTACAGGCCAGTGACAGAAATGGTGCAGGATATTTGTAAAGGGAACTGGCTGAGATTTGGGACAGGAAAGCTAAAAGAGCTTTGTAAACTACTGCCAGAAGAAAGTGAGGTAACAGCAGCTCCACTCGCCGCTTCACATCGTTCCAATTAAATCCTATATGCAACAAGATAAGACGAATGAACATTTGCGTGTTGATGCTTGCAGCTTTCTTGATGACCTCTCATACAAACACCTTCTTACCTCCTACTCAACACTGCGCTTCCTTGCATCCTGAGCAATACACCTGCTATGAATTAGTTGCATCACGCACCCAAGTTGCGGCTGCTCGCATTAAAAAATACACTCTGGTTCACGGCGAAAAAAAACTCCGGAGGCAGACTTTACCGTTAAGGAAGATGCAGACAGACAGACGTGAATCAACAGATGATTCATTGCTTTATACTGAGATATCACATTTTTTTCCATTTTAAAATAATTTAATTTTTGACCTAAAGTTCATAATTCACCTTCATTATTAAAAATCTGTTTGCAATCATTTTAGTACGGATGTCCATTAATGCAAATGCTTCATATTAATCAATCATGTTACCCGAGGGCTCCATTTCCCTCTTTTCTCCAGTTTGATCTTGTAATGTATATAAGACGGAATTATAACAAATATATCCTCCATGTTTGTTGAATCAAACTTGTGTGTGTGAACAGGTGAAGCAGCTGCTGTCATTCAGTGGGAACCTCTCCGTGTTACCTGAGGCTGACCAGTTCATGGTGCAGCTGGTCAAAGTGCCGGGGTTAGTTTTCCTGCGCTAATGTTTTTGGTGATTTGTTGTTCAATTTGAAAATGTTTCCTCATACAGATATCCCTTGGCTTTAAAGGGATAATTCGGGTATTTTAAGGTTGGGTTGTATGATACTCGCCCATAGTCAGCATATTACGTATAATAGATGGCTGTCTTTTTATTGACGTCTCTTGCCTTCAGCTATGAGGAACGCCTGAAAACAATGGTGCTGAGGGAGGAATTCTTTCCTCTTATGGAGGACGTGAAGAACTCTTTTGCTGTCATGACCAAAGCAGCTAATGGTAACATTTCTCACACATCCACTAAAGCTGCTAACAATCTCAACCTGGATTGTGTTTTACACCACCAGTTCTTATTTGAGTTTTTTTTTATTATGGCTCTTTGTCTCCATCTCTTTTTTCTTCTCTCCCCTTAGAGCTGTTGGAGTGTGATGACCTCCACTCGGTCATTCGACTGGTATTAAAAGCCGGGAATTACATGAACGCGGTTGGTATTTTTCTTTTAGAATTACGTATATTTCTTATGATTGGATGTATTTTATCGGGTGCATTTAAGCTGCCCTTTGGGCTTTTTACTCAGCATTTATTGTACTGATGAATACCCCATTCAAATCATTTATTATTCAGGGTGGTTACAGTGCCAGTGCCAATGCAATTGGCTTCAGGATGACTTCTCTGCTCAAGCTGGCAGACACCAAGGCCAACAAGCCTGGCATGAACCTCATGCACTATGTTGCCAAGGTGAGGAGGAGCCCTGGGATGGACGGATGACAAAAAATATGTGAAATTATGAAAAAGTCTGTTGTCACGCTTTGTCACAAAGCTTTGTCTTCCACCCACAGCAAGCGGAGGACATCGATGCCGAGTTGCTGACGTTTCACACCCAGCTTGAACACATTGGGTTGGGCTCCAGGTGGCTATCATTAGTATACTCGCATCTATTTGGTGATTGAACTGAACATGGTTTGTTCACCAATAGTGGCTTCAAATGTTGTCTGTTTCAATCTGATACTGTATCTGGTTGGTAGTTTGCACGTTATTGTATTACTTGGAATACGTTCCGCACAATGTATAAACGTTGCTTGCTAACACAGAGTTTGCAAAGAGGAGGTCATCGCAGACTTTGAGAGGGAAGTCAAGAAAGTCAAGGAAGTGAAGTTGTACAGCAGCAGACAGCCTGGCCTCATACAACAAATGGAGACATTTCTCGTGGTAAAGTCTCCGCTTGTTGTTGAAAACCAAAATGTATAGAAAAAGCCCACGCTGAGCTTGTGAACACTTCAGTCAGTCTACAATCTAGATTCCTCTTCTTCATATCTTTCTATGTTTTCTTTCCTCAGAGGGCTGAGGCCAAGCTGGCCGATCTGGAGACCTCTCTCCGGGAGCTAAAGGCTCTGAACAACGCTGTCGCGGAGTACTTCTGTGAAGACCCAGCAACCTTCAAACTGGAGGAGTGCTGCTCCATCTTTCATTCGTTTTGCAAGCGGTTTGACACAGCTGTCCGGGTAAGAATCTCAAGAATTTACAATAATACTTCAATGTGCAAGGGAATAAACCGCATCACAGGTGAAAATGATGCTGTTGCTTTGTATTTAAGGGCCACCTTAAATAAACTTAAAATGATTTAATGTTGAGTACTTTTAATGTTTGCAAGCGCTGTCCTCCTGTCCCCTTATGGCATTAATTTGCACTGCGTTTCTATTTTACTTGAATGTATTCTCGCTGTAGGACAACCGAGAGCGAGAGGCAGCCGAGCAGAGGCGCAAGCAGAAGGAGAGTGTGCGAATTGTAGCCAAACGCCGCTCCACAGTGTCTTGCCTGGGACCTGAGCGTGATCAGGACTCCTTGTGCTTGGAGTCGGCCTTGCACAGCTTTCTCGCCAACGTTCCAGACGGAATAGTCAGATGCAGGAAGAACATACTGCCCACAATCGAAGGATCCCCGTCTGAGTGCAGCTCGCCCAATGTTCGATCTGTAGCAAAAACTGAGGCTGCGCCGCGCACAAGACAAGAGAGACCTGAGAAAAAACAACCCAAATTCCAGGAGGAGGACGGGATCATGGCGGAACTAAAAAACAAAGAAGAAGCTCAAAAGATGCGTGAGATAACTCGGAAGGTGCTTCGCTACCAAAACGGCGAAAGCAGCCTCGATGAGGACAGAGTTTCAGGCACTCCTCCTCAGTCGGAGAGCACAAGAGACACACCAGCTACCCCAAGTACCCCTCAGCCTAGAACCAGAGACTTCTTCTTTTCCGACATTGAGGGTGTGGGCTCCCCATGGACTATCCTGAGTCCCTTTACTTGCACCCAAAGAAACGGCTCCCACCGAGACAGACAATCGCACCAACGCAGACTATCCTCAGCTTCAGGTGGAGATGACCTTGATGATGGAGTCTGGGAGAGTGATGAAGGCAATTACCTCCCCTATTTCTCCAATCAGGAAAATGGGGGTTCTACATCTGCGGGTTCTACATCTCTTCCTGAGTGCCCCATTCCGAGAACTGTGTCGAAGGGTCCAATGCTCAGGGCCGTTTCCATGGATGAAACCAGGCGATCTCCAGGATCTGGTTTCCGGCTGGGAGACTTGTTCCAGAGAAGCATGTCTCAAAGGTCATCGTACTCCTCTGGATCAAGGACAGAAAACGTGAGAGAAGAAGAAGCAGCAGGAGTCAGGAGATCATTGCTTGGTAGGAAGGCAGGGAATCATGTAGAGGATCAAGGAAGCACCTCTGGGTTCATATCCTTCTTCAGACACATTGGAAGCAGAAGTAAGCCTGTTGACGTGGAAGAACAACCACGCTTCAAAGGATCTAATACTTGATTCATACGTTGATTTTATTTAGAGACAAAGGCCAAGCGTTGCCTTTTTTTGTGTTTTAGATAAAGTTAAATATGTTTGTCTTTTTTAATTGTTATGGATTTACCCTTCAGTGGACCCAAGGCAATTGAGGACTTGCTTTGAACTGTGAAGGTTTTGATGTTGTGTGAGTCAAACCACATTCAAAAATCGTATTTCTTTGTCTTTTTGTGTGCAATAAATAATTCATTCTACCTTTTTAATGTTACTTGTATATGGATTATGCACTGAACAGTATTTATTTTTTAACATGTCTCCTCTTCCACCCTTTTCATTAAATCCTTGAAAGTCTTACTGGTGCTTGTGTCTCCTTAGTGAGGCCTGCTCAGTTTCCAGTGCTTGCCTTTCACTTCACCTATTATTTCTTCTCTGTCAGTCTGGCGGGCAGACAGTTGTTCAGGTAGCAAAGGGAGCCTTATAACTTGTAGGCTTTTATCACTTGTAGGATATGAACACTGAGACAAACACAAAAGCAACCAGATTGGAAATTTAGACCGTAGGTATATTCGTTTAAATGTCTTAACTCCTCCCTGATGCTGTCATCACAACTGACAAGGAAAAAAATCTGAATAGGAAACATTGCAGCTGGTGAACCCACTCTGGTGTCCAGATGAAGTGTCCTACCACCACTGTGCCACCCGGGTCTCTCTGCTCAGCAGTAGCTGAGATTGTGGACAAAAAGAGACCTTCGGCTGTGTTACTCGGGTAACAGGTTTGTCTACAGCCATTTCATTTGAGCGCTTAGTGTAATAATACTCTCTTGAACAAACTGCTCAGTACAGGCTCCTTTCTGACTGATCTGTTGTCCTCCCACATCCATCCCACCCATTGGCAAGAACTCAGTGGGGACATTTTCAGTCGCCTAGCTTTTCAAATCAAGGGCACAATGAATAGAATGACAGGGAATATATGGGCTTGCTTTCTTTTTTTTTTAAGAGATTGACAATAGAAGTTAAGTATTTTCTCTTGGCTATATAAGCATGCAAGCTCCTTTCCAATGTCGGGGATCTTTGTTGGTCAAACAAAAGCTCAACGCATGGCCTTGTACACATGCAGATAACAGTCTGGTAGTTGGAGCCGAGTACTTTGTCAGCAGAGACTGACCTGTTTGGCGTAAAATGAGAGGGCCAGAGAACAATCGGGCCTTTGTGATAAAATGCTGAGTGCCATAAGAATCATCTGGTGTGAGTCAACTCCTGAGGACTTGGAAGTGACCTGTGTCTGTGCATGAATAGAAAAGAGAAAGGTGGGGGGGGGGAAACTAGGACCAAGTCAGAGAGGGAGGGAGACCTGCAAGTTATATTGTGAGGAAGCATTTAAGCAGATAAGAGCATGTGAGAAAGGAATGTCAATATCTTAAAGACAGCGTAAACCTAAAAGGCAAATGCACAAGAGCATAAACTCAACAGGACGTATGGATGAAAGGAAAAGCCTGTTTACTCACAGTCCTGGATGTTTTTTCACTGTGGGAACTGGCAGCTGGACCGAAAAAGGTTGCAGAACATGTTTCGTTTCGAGAATGCTTAATAACAGATCAGCTATGAGGTATGTTGTCAGGTATGTTGTCAGGTTTTATTCTGTGTAAGCCTAAAGCGTTAATCTCTGAAGCAAAGTGTCTAGCTCTTTGGAAACATGACGGAACATCACGGTGTGCAAACTTAATCCACCATAGCGGCCACGGGCATTAGACTGTTTACAAGTGTTGGAATCAGATTTGAGGTTGAAAATGAAAACCAGGACGAATCCATGCGTGAGGCCTTGAGATGCGTTTCCAGAGTTGCATTTTAAATCACATTTTGGGGTTGTAGGTGACATTCCTCACACTATTTAATGTTGAACTGTTTTGTGCTAAAAAAAAAAACATGTTCAGCCTTGAAAACAGAGGCGACTACATCTTTGATTGACAGTGATTTCAAAACCTGATTTGAACTTATTTTCGAATAATTGGAGAACACTTTCTGCGTCTCTGAGTATGTATTTGTAAAAAATGTATTTGCACAGACCAATCCCAAAAACACATTTATGAACCCGACGTGAATTGAACACGCAACGCGTTACTATTGCGCCACGAATTCCTATAAGGGAATAAATGCTCATCTGGGTGTCGTAGAATCTATTTCTATCCACTCACGTTGCTTTTGGATATCTGCGCAAAATGTTTGCCTTCTCCATCGTAAGACATCAACCCTTTCTTTGTGTTGAAGTACAAGAAAAGAAACCTATCGCTGTGCATCTCGGATACTTTGTAAAGTACAATTATACATTTTTACTTTGTTAGATCTTTTTGGACCGTAAGTATTATTTTTTTTGTCTTTTATGAGTGGCTTCATTGAATGTGCGTCTTCATTTTCAGATAAAAGAAGGGCAAAAGGTGAGATCACAGCGCTGTCTGCATGGTGTCCCTATAGTTCCATCCAGTAAAATGTTAAGTTGCTTTCGACGATGTAGTCTCCAGTCAGACACTAGATGGTGCAATTCAACAAATGTATGTTTGTTTCTGATTCGGTATGTCCACATGCAGTACAGCACAGAGCCATGAAGGTCCTCCACAAAATAATAGCTGGAAGTGAAGTAACAGATTATTGACGTTGGACTTGTGATGCCACTTGTGGAAGTATACATGTGACATCGTTGTGCATGCCCATGGTCCCATCCCTCAATCAAGAACAGGATATAAATTAATATGTGTTCATATGGAGGAAAAAAAACACAATTTGCAAAATCTGTATATGAATGTGAGCTGTTTTTCTTTGTATTTCAGATGCGTTCAGGTCTGTCTGTTAGTCCCAGCTGTTTTCGTTACTGGAAGGAAGAGGAGCATCTGTAGAATCTAGGACACTTGCCAGCTAACCTCCATTAGTGACCAGCCTGTTCGTAGCAGAATGGAAAGGTAAGTACACACAAAATATGTCTAATTTTGGCACATATTTGGTATTGTCTGTAGTTTGACACTGCTGATATACAAAGATAACATCAAGCTGAATCTGAGTGCCTTTCATAACTTACAATATTCTTTAGTTCTCCCAGAGGGGTTTGTTGTCATCAATAAAAGAGTAATCATATTCATCAGTCAACTTAAAGGGCTCAGTGCTGATATTAATGTCCTTCCTGCCCCATCTGAAGTCGCTCTGATTGGGATGCATGCTGTTTTCCGTCCGCTCTGATGAGATGAGTTTAAATGTCAGGGAGTTGGAGCGGCGCACAGCTAATTGATTGGCTGGGTAAATGTCACATCGTAGCCGAGGTGAACGGATGGTGATGATGTCAATATGTATGTCTTTTCCATCCAATTGTTTTATATCTCTGCTTTTTGGTATCACACCAAAGCCAGATTTCCTTTTTTCTCAATCAAAATATTTAGTAGGTCATCTGGAAAGAGGGATTAAAGCATGGGGCTCAGTCTGCATGTGACTTCCTCGTTTGCAAGAAGCCACTAAATTGGGGCTCTGACTGTTGTTTGTGGTTTGTCATCAGCGGTTGGTTTGCTTAAGTCAACTGTTAAAGGTCATAGGAGCTTGGCAGTAACTAAGCAAGAAGACACGTGTGCCTGTCTGTGTGCGTTTGTTCTGTAGCTGGACAACACAAGAAAGACCAGGCTTAACCAGGTTCAAGACAATTACAGTGAAAATGTGTGCTGCAGTTGATATTGAGTTTGCGACTGCAATCGGTGTGTATTCTGCATCTATACTAAGGCAGAAGATCTTCAGGCAAATTTTAATTCTTGTTCCTGCTCAATAGAAACATCCAGTTTATACAGCCTCCCCCACACACATCACTGCTGCAGCAGCCAAAGCTCCATTACCGCCTGATTCTCAGGCTGCTCTCCCACAACTAATACCCATCTGACCACATTCACAAGGGTTTCGCTGGATTATAAAATCCATCTAAGACATGCTCTACCACTTAGCTGAAAGTCCGCTCTCATCCAGCTAATAATGGATTTTTGAGTGGTGATTTGGGGGAAAGAAAGTGTACCGTTACTATCACTATTTGAGTGGTCGCATAATGGTAAACCATTTTAACTTACTCTTTAAGAAGTGTTGTTTTTCAGCATGAAGACTGGGACCAGATATTTTGAATACTACTTACCCACCCTCCAGATCCACACTGTTTTCCATTCATTCAGTGTCACGATCGGCATATGCAGACATACTGTACTTGAAACAAATATCACATCACAGTTTACTGTGAACTCTTGTACTCTTTATACATTTTTTTGTTTCTCAAGTACATTAAAACCATTTTAATGCAAGACTATTTTTCTTCCCAGTTTTACATTTCTGGCCACCTTGAATGCAATGACATGCATATAACTCTCAACTCCTGGTGTTGTCAAATCACTGAGCTCAATGTCCACTATGATGGATTCCTTACACCTGGAGTCTATCAGTCTGTCTGTCTTTTTATTGTTAAATAAACTGAGCATGTTTTATTTATGGTAACATAACTTTATTTAATTATACACAGTATAGACAAGCTGAGAAAACCAGTTGTAAGTGCTGATGTAGGGCTTTCACACAATATCTCCCACAATAGATGTTTTATGTCGATAGATCATAGAAAAATGTTTGAAAGACATTTTTAAAACGTTTTTTTATTTTCATAATGTCCTGGCTTCAAATAAAAGTTCAAATGGAAGTTTGACAGTTAATTTGAGAACGGTATGCTTTGGAAAATGGTCAACAGGACAACTGTTTACAGATATTGATTTAACCACACATCACCTTTACATCCCCTTTTCTGCTCCAGTCGTCACATTTTACTATTGTCCACACAATCCACTTTCAAGTGCAGACCATGTCCACATTACATCACAATGAAGAAGCATGTGATGATTGATCTTCACACCAATAGCGGAATGTGCCTTTAACCAAGAAGTGGTTATTCATTTAATGGATATATTATTATGCAGTTAGTGTGCTATATACATACACATTTAAATATATTAGATGATAATTTTGGGGTAAATAATCCTCTAGCGGTATTTGGCCTGTTCCCTTCATTGATGATAGTGTGCTGAGTCGAAAGCTTGTCTGTACCTGGAGGGGTTTTCAAAACCTGCACAGACACCAGGTTTTATGATTTGCTGGCCAGGGATGAGAGGCTAACTGGACTGTTTCAGGGAGAGGGAGAGAGTGATAGAGAGGGAGACAGGGGGAGAGAGAGAGAGAGAGACGGGGGGGGGGGGAGAGGGAGACAGGAGGAGGGAGAGAGGGAAACAGGAGGAGGGAGAGAGAGGGAGACGGGGAGGGAGAGAGAGAGAGAGGGAGAGAGTGATAGACAGGGGGAGAGAGAGAGAGGGAGAGAGTGATAGAGAGGGAGACAGGGGGAGAGGGAGAGAGAGAAGCCATCTGCGTGTTCTGCTGCACTGGATGCAGTCTCCATGGCAACATGGTGCTCCCGCAGTCAAAGATGGTCTGGTCCCCACCCCCTTGCGCATGCACATAAGCACACTTGCAAGGAGGATGGTGCTCATGCTGTCCACACACACACACACACACACACACACACAGATATTACAGATATTCCACTGTCACAATTTTCCTGTCCATACACTTGACTGTTACATCCTCTCTTTACCACTATTTTCTCCACTGTCCCACACTCTAAATGATAGACAGAAACTTTACTACATGGTTTGTTGTCCTTGAGAAGAACCTGAACCCTCCATTAGCCATTGCATCTCCCTTTTAAGCTGAGCTCCACCTTTTCAAGCACAGCCTTCAATTGTTTGCGTTCACAACAGGATTCAGTAATTTATTTCCCTTTCCTCTGATCCGCTACCCTCCACCTGCACTCTGTGTGCGCGAGGGAAAGAGGAAGAGTGATAGACTTGGTTGCCTTTTCTGTTTATAACACTGGCTGACTCCCATTTTCGCTTATCAAGCATCAGCGATTTTCTGTTTGATATTTTGGACTTTATTCTCTTTACACATAATCAAAAAGAGAGAGAGAGAGTCAGGAGAGGTAAAGGAGAGTGCAGACAGGAATAAAAAAGATTATGCTCCGTCTCTTTGTTGCTATCTCTCCTTCACTCTGCTCATCTCCTACACTATTGGTCAATCCAACCCCCTCCCATTTCTACTCCAGCCAGTCAGCTCATACAATCTCTCTGTATCTCTTGCCTCCTAAGAGTCTCTCTCTCTCTATCTCTGTCCCTCAGTCGTTTTCCCTCCCGCTAGCACACACATACATGAGTTAAAGCCAGTTCTTGATCCCACTCATACACACACACACATACCTGCCTCCCTCAGTAGACTCTCTGTGTGAAGTGCCTTTTTGGGCGATGTTGGATTTTGTGGAAGGATATCACTCCCTTTGGAGGAGAGCGTGCTGAAACTTCCTTGTACCTCTCCTTCATCTGTCACGAACCTGCTGTAAGTAATCTCTCTCTGCCACTCGCTCGTTCGTGCCATCCTGACTGTGTGCCAGCGCTCATTCCTTCACGCTCCACTATTTCCATCTCGCACCCTTCTCCCCTTGGCAGAGGGTGCGAGCCTTTCCTCCTCTCACGTCTCCCTCTCTCCACTCCATGCCTGTCTCCTGTTTCCCCTCCCTCCCACTGGTGGACGCATACACCCAGTGTTGTCTGTATGCAAGCCAATGCCGCAGGCCATTTGCTGGCCTATGATGGGTTTGTGCTGTGCAGCATAACCTGAGAATATGTCCTGTCTGTGTATGCGAGATACCCTCTGTGAGGCTGACCGGACTGGGATTAAAAATGATTGGCGAGACAGGCTGCAGTTATTTGTGCTGGAAATGTGGTTCGGGGATATTCTGATCTAAAAACTGGGGGACACTCAAAGTAATTATTGTTGGCTTGATGCTGCATGTTTTAAAAAAGTGTTTCTGCTCGCATTGAGCATGAAAAAACTGGGGTGAGAGCTTGTTTTATTGAATCAGTGAAACAAAAATCTGTATGTCTTTCAGAGAGCACAGTTGCTTCGTGCAACTTCGTATAATTCACAATGCTATTCCACACAATGCAATTTCTACAACCTGTCAGTCCCAGACAAACCTCTCAGAACTCCGTGGATAGTATCAAGAATCGATTGACATCATGCCTAAAGCAAGACTGCTTTTACCTGGTAAAGTTTGCCATTACTCAGTCAGTTATATTGGTTTCAGGAGGTTTAAACCTCATCTTTCACCAGCTCTACACTTTGGTCCCATGCTGTAATCTAAACATACAGTTGATGGTGTTGTGCGCAGAACCTTACTTTGTCCCCAAGCATTATAATTTGATGATGATTTGAATACAACTCCAACAAGACTGGACACCGAGGTCATCAGGAGATGACTACAACATGCCTACTTTTAAAAAAAGGTTGAAACAGTGATCTAGGGGCACTTCCTGTCGCTGTGGGGGGAGACGGAGAATGGAATGTCCAGCTGGTATGGGAGGAATGTCACTAGAGCTGCATGAGAGGGGTGAGAGTCATGAGCCAGGAGAGATATAAACTTCACCACGCACTGAATGATTAACTGAATGGCCGTCAACACTGTAACTACTGGATTTTCTGCCCCATTTGTGTCATAACTGAGGTGTTGATGTAGTCGCTGCCAGAGAGCTGTCGCTGTGCTCGCATTATCAGCTCATTTGATGCACATGCTGAAGTCCAAAACAACCAGTGCAGCAATCGATAAATGTGGAGATGTGGAGCCAATTTTGAGTGCAATTATGTTACTCTTGCATCCAAATGGCTTTTTTTTGTTATGACACTTGGTACACACACACGCACGCGGCGCACACACACACACACACACACACACACACACACACACACACACACAC